CTCCTTCTCCCCCTCTTCGTCCTCCTCGTCTTCGTCCTCCTCCTCCGCCTCCTCCTCCTCTTCCTCCCCCTCTTGTTCTCCCTCCTCCTTTTCTTCCTCTCCTCCTCCTCCCTCTCCTCATCCTCCTCCTCGTCCTCGTCGTCGTCGTCCTCCTCCTCCTCCTCCTCCTCCTTCTCCTCCTCGTCCTCATCATTTTCTCGTCCTCGTCTTCCTTTTCCTTTTCCTCCTGTTCCTCCTCCGTCTCTTCCTCCTCCTCCGCTACCTCCTCCACCTTACCCTCCCACTTGTTTGGCGTCTGCGACAAACTCCGACGGCGACGGCGAAGAATGCTGGTCGGGCGGGCGTGACGTAAATATACGATTCGCTCAATGGTGGAGCGTTCAGTCGGACGGGCGTGCGAGACATTAAATGCAGCCTGGAGTTAGTGATGCGACGACCTGGGGGAACATATTCACAACCACCATGGGACGCCGTTCGGGCGGGCGAGACGTTGAATATATGATTCGTTCAATGATGGGGCGTTCAATCGGGCGGGCGGGCGGGACATCACCTGCAACCTTCCTCACAGATGGCACAACAATGGGGGAACATATATCACAACCGCTGGGGACGCAGTCCGGACGGGCGGGACATTGAATGCACGATTCGGTCAGCGATGGAGCGCTCAATGGAGCCAGCGGGCGGGACATTAAATGCAACCTTCACTCAGTGATGAGGCGTCATCATCATCACAACCACCACCACCGTCATCACCACCAGGATCACAACCACCACCGGCGCCACCACCACAACCATCATCATCATCAGCATCATCATCGTCGTCATCATCATCGTCATCATCAACAGCATCACGATCACGAGTGTCAGCTTGTGATCAACAAATCCGTGGTGGGCGCGTTTTTTTTTTGTTGAAAATAATTACCCTGCTTGGGCGAATCGCGGGGTGGCACCCGCCAAATTGAAAATCAACAACGGCGGCGCCAGTGATTAGCGCCAACGCCCAGCCGCCAGATGAAAGGCGACAGGCAGCACAGACTGGGGGAGGGGAGGGGGGCGGGAGGCAAAAACGGCAACAGCAGAGACCGTGAGCCAAGGCGACACCTGTGCGACATGAAGACGAACTTCTGTCGGCGCTTGCCCCCGCACTTTCCGTGCTCTTTTCCGTCGAAGCGATGCGTTCCTTTTGCCCTGGTCGCAGCCAGGGGGGCGCCAGCTGCCCCGCGGGCCCGCGAGCAAGACGGGCTGGACGAAAGGGGGGCGTGGCCAAGAGGGGATCTGCGCAGCAACTCACATTGCTAATTTCCCGAGCGCCCCCTGGCGCCGAGAGCGGCCATGCATCGAGGACTGGCCCATCGGCGGGGCGGCCGAAACCAGCTGCTCGCAGCAGGTTTCGTACCCCCCCCTCTTCTTCCCCAGCCTTTCGTCCGACCCGAGCAATGCGGGCAGTCCTCCTCCCCCCCCCTCTGTCGTGGTCTCTGTAGTCGCCGACGACGACAACGACGACGAGGACGAGGAGGACGTGGACGAGGACGAGGCCGAGGACAAGGACGAGGACGACGGACGGCAGACTGCGACGGCGGCGACGACAACGACGCACTGTGGATGCCCTCTTGGGGGGGGGGGGGGTACTGCGCAGGCCCGCTGTAGTCGACGACGACGACGAAAGAAGACGACGGCGACGGCGACGGCGACGGCGACGGCGACGACGGCGACGAAGACGACAACGACGACCGTGACGACGAGGACGACGACGACAAGGACGACGAAGAAGAAAAAGACGACGACGACGACGACGACGGAGGTGACAAAGACGACGACGACGACGCCTCCGGGGAAAAGCAATCGCCTCGGATGTGTACGACCCCCATAACAACTTTTGTGCGAAACGCAATCGTTTTGAGGGTGTCCTGCGTGGGGGTACACGATTCCATCGGCGGTGCCAGCGGCGACCCCGTGGCGCGCGTGAAAAGAATGTTTCGTGCCCCGCGGGGTCTATTCATCAGCCCCGTGGGGGGGGGTGCAGCCCTGGGGGGGTCATTTGTTAATCACAAGTGGACATTATCATCACCATCATCATCATCATCATCAGCCTCATCACCATCAGCATCCCCACCATCATCATCGTCATCGATATCTTCATCATCACCATCATCACCATCACCAGTAGCAATATCAGCAGCACCATCATCATCACCATCACCATCATCGACATCGACATCATCACCATCACCACCATCATCTTCATCATCAACATCATAATCGGTATCTGCACCGAAATGGACACCGGCATCACCATCATCATCACCATCATCGCCTTCAGCACCATCAGTATCACCAGCATCATCATTATAACCAACATCATCATCGCCATCCTCGTCATCAGCTTCGCCATCATCCTCAACATCAACATCATCATCAGCATCATCATCATTATCACTATCATTATCATCATCTTCGCCTCGGATGTGTACGACCCCTATTACAGATTCTATACGGAAGACAATTATTTTGAGGCTGTCATGCAGGGGGGGTACACTATCACCTCGGCGGCGCCAGCGACGACCCCCTGGCGCGCGTGATTAAAACGTGCTTCGCGCCCCGCCGGGTCTGTTCATCAGCCCCGTGCGGGGTGGGGTGCAGCCCCGGGGGGGGGGTCATCGTCACCATCATCATCATCATCCTCATCACCACCATTTCCCCACCATCATCATGATTATCATTAGTATCATCATCAACAACATCATCATCACTATCACCATCATCAGCAACATCAGCATCAGCAGCACCACCATCAACCTGATTATAACCATAACCATCATCATCACAATCATCGACATCGACATCAACATCGACATCATCATCAGCATCACCATCGCCATCATCATTACCAATGTCAGCATCATCATCATCATCATTTTCATCTCCATCATCATCATCATCATCATCATCAGCAGCATCATCTTTATCACCATCAGAATCAACATCAATATTATCAGTATCATCATTACCATTACCAGTATTATTGTTATTGTCGCTGTCATTACCATCATCGTCATCAGCATCATCACCATTATCGTCAACATCAACATCAACATCGGCATCATCATCAGCAGCAGCAGCAGCATCATCATCATCATCATCATCACCACCACCACCACCACCATCATCATCATCATCATCATCACCACCAGCAACAACATAAAAATCAGCATCAGCATCAACGTCGTCGTCGACGCCGTCGTCGTTGTCGCCGAGCGCCGCCGCCTCCGCCGTCGCTGTCCCCCCTTGCACTCAGGACGGGGGCCCTCCCGGCTCGATCCCCCATCCCCCCCCTGGGCCTTCGGGCAGGGGGTCCCCCACCATCTGGTTCGAAGCTCGAAGCCCCCCTGGCTCGAACCCCGCCCCCCTCCCCTGGCCCACAGAACGCGCGCTATCAAAAATTGACACGCGAGGATCTCAGGGTCGGGGGCGGCCGCGAGGGGGGCGTCCAAGAGGGGGGGCGCAAATCATGGCCGGCGGCATGTGCACGGCCCAAGTGGGGGCCAGGGACGTCATGAAATAAGAAGAGGCGCCATGAAACCTGGGAAAATATCATGGCCCACGCCATGGTATCTTCACCCCCTGGTTATCACCCCCTCTTTGCCGCCCCTGGCAGGGGGGCCCACGTGCGTCCACACCCGCCGCCTCCCGGGGTCCAGGAGGGCTGGTCACTGCGGTGAGCCCGAGCCTCCGAGAAGGAGCCTGGGGGCTCGCCGAGGAGGCGGCGGGCCGCCGGGCCCCCGCGATCCGCCCAGGAGGGGGAGGGGGCCCCTTTGTCGCAGCACGGGGTCCCCAGAAGTCCCAGGAGGAGGAGGAGGGGGAGGAGAAGGAGGAGGAGGAGGAGGAGGAGGAGGACGAGGAGGAGGAGGAGGAGGAAGAGAGGAGGAGGAGGAGGAGGAGGAGGAGGAGGAGGAGGAGGAGGAAGAAGAGGAGGAGGAGGAGGAGGAGGAGGGGGAGGAGGAGGGGGAGGAGGAGGGGGAGGGGAAGGAGGCGGGCTGTTCATCCCGAGCCATTTCGTTGATGGCACCGGGGGCCTGGCGAGGGCACAAGGAGGCCGAAAACACGACTCAAGGCTTCCGTTCCGATGTTTGTCAATGCGCTGGATGTCTGGGTGGGGGGGGGTCCGAGGGCTCCTTGGGGATGGAGGGGGAGCGGTCCAAGGGCTCCTCCACGTCGCCGTGGAAGTACAGGAGCGAACCTCTTTGCAGTGCGACTCCAGGCGCTGTCAGAGAAACGGCGCCTATCTCTCTCTCGTTTGGACGTGACGCCGTGGTTACGCCTTCCCAGGCGCCTGAACCAAGCAGCTACGATGATACGAGATTCGGGATATTCGTACCCAGTGTGCTCCCTACCGCCGGTCAAATGGCTCTTCCACACAGGAGTACAGCGGCAAGGTCCCAGGGCCCGACAAGGGCCCCAAGAGGCAGAGAACGACGAAAGACAAAGGATGAGTATGGGGGAGTCCGGGAGAGGAGGAGGAGGACGAGGACGAGGAGGAGGAAGAGGAGGAAGAAAATGAGGAGGAGGAGGAGGAGGCCGAGGAGGAGGCGAAGGCGAAGGCGAAGGCGGAGGCGGAGGCGGATGAGGAGGAGGCGGAGGAGGAGGAGGAGGAGGAGGAGGGTGGAGGAGGTGGAGGAGGAAGAAGACGATGAGGAGGAAGAGGAGGAGAAGGAGAAGGGGGAGGACGACGGAGAAGGACGGGGGAGAGAATGAGGAGGAGGAGGGGGAGGAGGAGGCGGAGGAGGCGACGAGGAGTAGGCGGAGGAGGGAAGAAGGAGGAGGTGGATGAGGAGGAAGCGGAGGAGGCGTAGAGGGGCGGAGGAGGTGGCGAGGAGAGGAGAGGAGGAGGAAGAGGAGAAAGAGGAGGAAGGGGAGGAGGATGAGGAGGAGGAGGAGGAGGAGGAGAAAGGAGGAGGAGGAGGAGGAGGCGGGGGAGGAGGACGGAGGCTGTCGGAAGGCTCCTCCACATCGCAGTGGAAGTACAGGAGCGAGGTGCCCTGAGGGCTGATCTGCGCGGGAGTGAAATCCTGGACCCGCGCGAGCGGCCGCCCGTGGCCCGCGCGGAGGCCTCCTCCTCCTCCTCTTCCTCCTCCTCCTCCTCCGCCTCCGCCTCCGCCTCCCCCTGTTCCTCCTCCTCCTCCTCTTCTCCTCCTCCGCCTCCGCCTCCGCCTCCTCCTCCTCTTCCTCCTCCTCCTCCTCCTCCTCCTCCTCCTCCTCCTCCTCTAGAGGCTTTCTATAAGGGATCCGAGTAGAGGGGGTCGGAGGATCGCGCCGCATCGCCGATGCATCGGCTACGCAGTAGTGGTGCATCGGCGACGTCAGCGATGAATCGGAGATGTCGGCGTGGTGAGAGTCGGGCTCCACAGCGATCCGCATCGCCGATGCATCGGCGATGCGGCACGATCCTCCGACACCATCTACTCGGACCCCATCTGGGAGACCTGGAGCCCTACACTTAGGTCGGGCATGTCCTCCTACAGGCGGATTTTGGGCGACGAATCGAACATAGTCCAAAATTGTCACAACATGTGTCAGAACATCGTCCCCATACTATGTTTTGACCACCATTTCTGAACACTCCCCCTGTAGAGGGACAGGCCCCGAATCGACCCCACACCACCTCCTGGCCATCCTCCTGCCTGCGCCCTGTCCTCCTCCTGCGTCTCCTCCTTCCCCTCGCCCCGCGCGCAGGGGGGCCCTCGCCAGACGGGCCCGCGTCGAGGCTCTGGCCGCTTGCTCGGGGGCGAGGGCGGCGTCCAAGAGGGGCGGGGAGCACGTCCGTGGCCCGAGGCACGTGCGCGACCCCGAGGGGGGGGCCAAGGGGAAGTTTCGAAAGAATGCGATGGGGTTATGAAATCCAGAGACGCATATTGACCCTGGCCCTGGCTATGATACATGGCAGGTTTTCATACATGGGATTTTCTAACACATCGGATTTTGAATACATTATCAATTTATGAATAAATGTATGCATGAACTCATCGCTGTTTTAATACTAAACCCCTGTATGTTTAATACATGATCCGCACGCGGAGCATGTATTAAAAACGGCACTGTATCCACCACCCCGGGTCATCAATCTCCTCTTAGGACGCCACCGATTTTCGGCCTCCAGGGGCCCTCGCTGGGCCCCGGGACAATCCAGAAACGACTCGGGGCGAGAAGCTGGCCACTGGGGAAATGGTCGGGGCGTCCGGGGACCGCGCATGGAGAAAAGCAAAGCATCGCATGCCTGCGCCCCCTCGCTGTGTGAGTGCCCTCCCCTTCCTCCCTCCTCCCCCGCGGCTGCTTTCGCCTGCCTTCCCCGGCTCCTGCCGCCGGCTCATCTGCGCTTGCCGCTGTCCAGACCGCCCGAGCACACGTGCGGACTGCCTCTGGTGAGCGTTTCTTTTCTTCGGCGCTTCGACATTCGGCGGAAATGGGGGGGGGGACGGGGTCTGGCTCCAGACCTCTGCTTCGTGCGACTGTTGGCAACCGTGCGCCCTGTGGGGGAGGCGCCACCTGCCTGAAACAGGCGCCACAAAACAGCCAAGGTCTACTCCATGGGAGGGGGAGGGGGGATGCGATGGCCCGCGCCGATCGGCAGAACAATGGATGAAAAACGACCACCTGCCAAGCTGCGACGTAAAAGTCTGCGCCCCCTCCCCCCCCAACAGAATACTCAACATGACCACTGCGCTTCCCTCTCCCCTGACCGCGTGCTGAAAGTGTCCCGCCATCTCCGTGCTTGTTGCTGCACAGGCCTTGAAGCGCGTGTGTTCAGAGGTTTGTTTGCGGAACGTCTTCTCGTCTTTCGCTCGGACGGCCATGCCTCGTGTACGTTTCGATGTCGTGCGCGTATTTGTTCGCAAGTCTTCTTGTCGCAAGATGATTCAGGATGCTTCCGATTGCCCCCGCCGAGCAAACAATGCACACGTCCGAGCGATGCCAGGTCTTCGGTGTCTCAGAATTTTCCAGGTGCAGCATGCGCCTCATCTTCTGATCGGCGCTTTGTCCCGTCGTTCAGAATTGCGCTCTCGCCCGAGCGCGGGCCACTTTTCCGGAACCGAATCTGTCCTCTTCGTTCTGTCCCCGCTCCTTTCCCCCGATTCGCCTTCCCCTGGTCCTTCTGCTCCTCCCGCTCCTGCTGGTTCTGCTGCTCCTCCTCGCCCTCCTCATTCCTCCTCCTCCTCCTCCTCCTGCTCCTCCTCCTCCTCCTCCTCCTCCTCCTCTGTAGACAGCCCGAGTATGCATAACACGGCGGATTCTTTTGGGGGAGTCCAGGTCCGCCATGACACCCGTCGTCGGATAGCGAAACGTCAGCGCAACGGGAAGGGATGGGTGGGAGGGGTAGGATGTCAGACACGGCGTGGGGGCACCCAGGTTGCCCTCCCCCTCCTCCCTCCCTCCTCCCTCCCTTCCTCCCTTCCCTCCCTGCATCCTCCCTCCCTGTCCTCCCTCCCTTTCCTCCCTCCCTTCCCTCCCTCCCTTCCCTCCCTTCCCTCCCTCCTCCCTCCCTTCCTCCCTCCCTTTCCTTCCTCCCTCCATCCTCCCCCCACTCCAGCCCTCCTCCCTCCCTTCATCCCCCCTCCCCCTCCCACCCTCGCATGCCTCACAAGGCTGGTCCAGACGGGCGCGGACCACTCCGCACGATCGGCCAGCTCCACCACCAGCCTGCCTCCATCCCTCCCCTTCCTGCCTCCCCAACCTGATCCGTCTGTTTCCCCCCTGCCCTGTACTCTCTCCTCCCCTACCCCCTCCCTCTCGCTTCCCATTCCCTCCCTCGCCCCGTTCCCCCCAGCACCTCTCCCTCTCCCTCTCCCTCCTCCCTCTCCCCTTCTCTCTCTCCCTTCTCCCTCCCGTTCCTTCCCCTCTCTTTCCCGTCTCCCTCCTCCCGCCCTCCTTGACCCCTCCCCTCTCCCTCCCTCGCCCCTGCCCCTGGCAGGGTCCTGCGGCCTGGGCACCCTGTTCGGGAATATTCTGAAGTGCACGTCCTCGGGAGGTCGCGGGCGCGCGCGCAGCGCTGGCGGGCGAGAGGGGACCTGGATTCAAAGCAAATGCAGTGGAGGCCAGTCCACAAGAAACCGTCCACAAGAAACCCAACCCTGAGACCCCAGGACGTCCATTGACTTTTGGTGCGGAAACGTCGCGCTCTCCATCGCACAACCATCGAAACCAAAGAAACCCAGGGCACCCTGGAGGCGAGCAAGGTGTTTGTTGGAATGGGTCTCCACTGTATTCTATGGTGCGAAAAACAGAATATGGGTCACAAAACAGATTCCAGGTTCCGGAGGATCGATCCGTGTGATGGGTGTGCTAAATTTGGCTAACCAACCCATTAGCCAACCAACCAACCAATTAGCCAGCCGACCAACCAAGCAACCAACCAACGCACCAACCAACCGCTGTCAATCTGGAGCAAATCTGCTGGACCCGGCAGCTGGACGACGACGAGGACGAAAACAACGACGAGTAAAATGGAATGGAATAGAATAGAATGTGGGATGTAATGCGATGGAACGGCCTATATTGAACTGTCGGGGGATTGACTTGAAAAGAACGGAACAGAACGACAGCAGGAGACCCGACAAGCGGAGGTGGCTTCGTTCTGTTTCATTCCGTTCCAGTCCAATCCATTACATTCCAATCCATTCCATCCCATCGCGTCCCATCCCATCTCTCCATCCCATCCAAATCCATTCCGTCGTCGTCATCTTCGTCATCGTGGTCGTCGTCATCGTCGTCTTCATCATCGTCGTCGTCGCGTCGTCGTCGTAGTCGTCGTCGTCTATTTAAATCGTCGTCGTCGTCGTCTTCGTCGTCCCCCTCGTCGTCGTCGTCGTCGTTCTCGTTGTCCTCGTCGTCGTCGTTGTCGTCGTCGCGGTCTGTCATCCGTCGTCGTTCGTCGTCGTCGTCGTCATCCGCGGCGTTGCCGCGTGTCAAGTCGAATTGTTTGTTCGCCCCCGCGGCGCTGCCACGTTGAGTACAGTTGCGTGTGTCGCCACCACGGCGTTCACACGTGGCGAGTAGAAGGGAATGAACTCTTGCGCCCAGGCGTTCACACGTGGCGAGTATAATAGAATTGTTGTTTCCTGTCCCGCGGCGTTGCCACGTGAAGAGTATAGTGGAATAGTAGTTTGGCCCCCAGGCGTTGCCATGTGTCGAGTGGAGTGGAATCGCGTTTTCCCCCCCGCGGCGTTGCCATGTGACGAAGAGAATGGAATACACCAGACCGTTGGGGCGTGAGTGGTTTAGAGCGTTTCCTCTTCCAACCCCCCTTCTCATCCTTCCCTGCCCCGTCCCCGTGGACGGGGCGCCCGCCCCACGACCCATTGGTGCTTCCAAGATGGCTTCGGCGAGAGGGCGCTAGTCATTGCTTTTACTCAGCTGTTGGGCCCATTTGGGCCTCCTAGGGGAGGGGACTCTAAAATGGGACCCCCTTCTTTGGTTGATATCCTCCAAGATGGCCCCAAGATGGCCCCAAACGCTCCTAAGAGGCGACGTCGCGAAAAAAAACCTTGTGACAAAACACGACCCGAGGCCTGGGCCACACCTGCCGAACCAGATCGATCTGTCAAGGTCTTGGGGCCCGAGACCAAGCGAAAACGCCCGGCTCGAGAAAATCGGCCGGCCCCCTTGTGGGGCCACCAGGCTGTAGCCCTAATGTTCGCAGTTTCCTGTGCCAGTTGCAGCTTCCAGTTTCCACTGTTACAGTTCTGCTTCTTGCTGCTTACTGTTCCTTGTTCACTTCTTGCTGCTTACTGTTCCTTGTTGATGGACCGCGCGAGGGTGTGAGACCCAAAACGGGCAATTTTACCACGCCCTGAGCGTATTGTCTGAATTGCTGGCGTGGGTAAAAATTAACACCCCTCACGCAGATCGGCGGGGTCAGGGTTCAACAACACAGGGGATTTGCCACATTTCTGACATTCGGTGGCCCCCCTCACGCAGATCGGCGGGGTCAGGGTCCAAAAACACGTCC